AGCCTGACACATTAAAGTGTCCAGCGTCCGTGTACACCTCCCAAGAATGTGTCCACAGGGAGGCGTGTGGGTGCTGGCCCGCTGTGAGGATCACTGGGTGTTCCGTCCAGAAGTTGAAAGGTTGACCCTCCTTAAATAAATTATAATATACACCAAACTTAAACTAAAGTCCAAAAATACACCACTTGGTGTATCTTGGTGTATCTCTGTATCTTCGGCTCGTTGGTGAGGTGTGTGGCCTCAGCTGCGGGGGCCGACAGGTAACATGGTAGCGACATGAAAGATTTACAGAGGTACTGACAAAGTAGATACGCATGCATTGTTCAGGATTAGAAACAGTCGAAGAAAGCGACGTAGATTGAAATCAGAAAAGGATTAGTCAGGGACATGTCATTCCTAAGGTTCCGGGTTCGATCCCCGGCGGAGGCGGAAACAAATGGGCAGAGTTTCTTTCACCTTGATGCTCCCTGTTCACCTAGCAGTATATAGTTACCTGGGAGTTAGACAGCTGCTATAGGCTGCTTCCTGGGGATATATGTGTGTGTGTGTGTGTGTGAGTGTGTGTGTGTGTGTGTGTACTCACCTAATTGTGCTTGCGGGGGTTGAGCTCTGGCTCTTTGGTCCCGCCTAATCTTAATTAGGCGGGACAATTAATCATTTGTGTGTGTGTGTGTGTGTGTGTGTGTGTGTGTGTGTGTGTGTGTGTGTGTGTGTGTGTGTGTGTGTGTGTGTGTGTGTGTGTGTGTGTGTGTGTGTGTGTGTGTGTGTGTGTGTGTGTGTGTGTGTGTGTGTGTGTGTGTTAGAGATAAATATATGAAGTAGACATACTAGAGGAAAGAAATAGATTGGTTAGAAAGGCGGGGTCCAAGAGCTAATAGCTCGAGTCTGCAGACACAAATAGTAAATACACACAAAGGAAACATAAATATATCTGACCAGATTAATTTCGACAGACAGACACTAACCACTCATATTAATTTTATATGTTATTAGTACATATCACCATGGAGGACCCCATAGTGTGACCCCCATTATTACCATGAAGGACCCCCTTGTGTGACCCCCATTATTACCATGAAGGACCCCATTGTGTGACCCCCAATATCACCATGGAGGACCCCATAGTGTGACCCCCATTATTACCATGAAGGACCCCATTGTGTGACCCCCATTATTACCATGGAGGACCCCATAGTGTGACCCCCATTATTACCATGGAGGACCCCATAGTGTGACCCCCATTATTACCATGGAGGACCCCATTGTGTGACCCCCATTATTACCATGGAGGACCCCATTGTGTGACCCCCAATATTACCATGAAGGACCCCTTGTGTGACCCCCATTATTACCATGAAGGACCCCATTGTGTGACCCCCAATATCACCATGGAGGACCCCATAGTGTGACCCCCAATATTACCATGAAGGACCCCATTGTGTGACCCCCATTATTACCATGGAGGACCCCATAGTGTGACCCCCATTATTACCATGGAGGACCCCATTGTGTGACCCCCAATATTACCATGAAGGACCCCCTTGTGTGACCCCCATTATTACCATGAAGGACCCCATTGTGTGACCCCCAATATCACCATGGAGGACCCCATAGTGTGACCCCCAATATTACCATGAAGGACCCCATTGTGTGACCCCCAATATTACCATGAAGGACCCCATTGTGTGACCCCCAATATTACCATGAAGGACCCCATTGTGTGACCCCCATTATTACCATGAAGGACCCCATTGTGTGACCCCCAATATTACCATGAAGGACCCCATTGTGTGACCCCCAATATTACCATGAAGGACCCCATTGTGTGACCCCCATTATTACCATGGAGGACCCCATAGTGTGACCCCCATTATTACATTGGAGGACCCCATTGTATGACCCCCAATATTACCATAGAGGACCTACATTGTGTGACCCCCATTATTACCATGGAGGACCCCATTGTGTGACCCCCATTATTAC